CCCATGCTGCAATCTCTTCACTGTTCTCCTCTTGGGATTTTGGGCATACACGCACATGTGCCCAGTGTGAGTTTCAAGCCACTGGGTCTGGGATCCAAACCTAGGTTGGCCACATGGTAATTCAGTGCCTTAACCACTATGCTTCTTATCTCACTAGAGTTTTTCATATGACAGGCCCAGGACAACACTAGAAATGACAGGGATGGGGGACCAGCAGTTAGCATAATGTCTATGTCGCTGGATTCCCATGTAGTTGACTATGGTTTGAGTCCCGGACCCAGCGGCTTAAACTCACACTGGGCACATGTGTGTGCGTGCCCAAGATCCCGAGAGGAGAATGGAGGAGAAGGGATTGTGGCATGGCCATCCCCCCTGCAGGGTGATTTCTTGCTTTCTGTTTCTCTGTCTCTCTCTGTCTTTCTGGTGACTGCACGTGCCCTATAGTGGAAACCTCTCCAAAAAAAAAAAAAGAAAAGAAAAGAAAAAGAAATGACAGGGATGGAAAGAATCTAGCAATTCATTCACAACTATGTACTGAGCTTTGCTCTGTGCTCTGGGCACAAGGAATCCCACGGCAAACGAATATCCAGTACCTTCTCTTTCAGAGCCTGCGTCTTAGATGGGGAGGCCAGAATGAAACGAAAAGCAGCTACAGTATTTCCAGTGTGAGAGGTGTTGGGGACAAATAAACAGAATGGGGTAAAGGGGAGGAGAGCGGGACCGACAGGGTTATGACAGGGTGATGGCTCACATGGGTAGTCAAAGAAGCTTATGTGAAAGGATAATTGAAAGATCACAGGAAGAATAGACGCTGGAGTAAGAGAGGGACAATGAGAAAAGAAAAAACAGCTCCTCTGCAGTTAAGGAAAACCTAATTCGAGTGGTGTGGTGCCTGTGCAGTTCGGGTCCCAGACTGGGAGGCTTGAAAAACATGGCAGGTACTCGCATGTACATGCCCAAAATCCCGAGAGGAGAATGGAGGAGAAGGGGTTTGGCATGGCCATCCCTGCTGGGGTGATTGCCTACTTTCCCTCTCTGGCAAGTGTACAAAAATCTAAAAAAAATTAAAAAGTCCAACAGTGATGATAAATCTACACGAGACAAAATCGTCCTACGATGCTTGAGTGCTGGAGTCTGTCTGATGTCTGACTGCAGGTAACCCGGGCCCCAGTAACATGCAGCTATAACATTTAAAGGAGGCCTGCTGAGATGAGGCCAAAGCAGGCCCCAGTCTTGGCCCCAGAAAGAATGAGAATGGGGCCCCCTCTCCTTCTGCATCCTGTTCGCATTCAGCTCTGGAGGCGCCGTGAGAAATGACTCCCGCTGGTGTCAGAAGCCCGGCCCTCTCTCACAGTGTCGGTGCTCCCTTCTGTCAATGTGATCGTTTTGTGAGAACAGATCAGCCACACAGGGAGAGGCTGGTTGCAGGTCCCAGTCAGAACGAAACACCTACAGCAGAAGCGACCGTTGAGCAGCTCGGGGGCTGTGCACGGTGTGGTGACACGGCAGGTCCGGGGGGATTTAGGGCTTGCTCCTAAGTGGCCTGAGCTGCCCAGCCCAGAGCACCGGGCACCCAGGGAGCGAGCAGGGCTTGATGGCCACCCCTCCTTGTACCTGGCCACCTCAGACAGCCTGTCTAAGCTTCTTCCTCCTCTGACCAGTGAGAATCATTATTCTTTCTACATGAGGCTGTTTAAGCACCAAAAACGGTGATAAAAATGCTAGCTATGATTATTCTTTGATGCAGAGCATTTCAAATCCTTAAGTGAAATTTCAATCATTGCATCTGTGGAAACACGGATTTTAAAATGTTTAGTTAAGAAAGACCTAGATGCAACATTTTGCAAGGAATAAAATTGGCAATAGATTGTCTGACAGTGGGGGAGGAAGGAACTAGAGCCTGTGGTGGGAAACAACTCACAAATTAGATACAGTTTGAAGTCTCCTGCCTTATCATGCAAGTGAATGCTACATTTTCATCTCATTCCATACTTAATATGAAAACGATGCTCTTAATGACACCCTGGGAAGATACGCGTGTTGACGAGCCAGGCACAGCCCACAGCCTCTTAGTTCCTATTGCTGTTGTGGTCACCTGGCACATGGAGTGGCCTAGAACTGCTCACGTGTCTTGTTTCATACTTCTGGAGGCCAGAAGTCTGACACGAGCCTCACTGTCACTAGTCTCAAGGCAGGTTGTTGCTGAGGCTGCTCTCCTTCAGGAGGCTCCAGCAGGGAGAATCCTTTCCCTTGCAGTTCTGTGCGTCCAGCGGCTGCCCTTGTTTCTCATCCCCTGGGCCTTCTTCACCCTCAAAGCCAGCAACAGCACCGAGTCCCTCTCCTCTCTCTGGCTCCCCCTTGTTCGGCTCCTGCCTTCACTTTCACAGACCCTTGTGATGACAGTGGTTGCCCCGGACAACCAAGGACCAGTCCCCACCCCCAAGTTATCTGACGAGTAGGCTCACTCTATCTGCAGACCTAACTCCTTATGGTGTTACCCAACGTAGTCACGGTTCTGGGGAGGGAGGGATGGGAACATCTTTGGGGGACCGTTATCCTGCTCTCTCAGAACCAGCCCTGGGAGACAGGCCGAGCTGCAGGGGCAGTTGAGCTGCGGGGTGAGGGTCTCTGGGTCGGGGCTGCCTCCCGAGCCAGCAGTGCCGAGCCCACTTGGTATCAGAAAGCCATGGGCTTTTCCAAGCTGGCTATTCCCAGGCATGGCGTCGAATTCATCTTCTACCCCACTGCCTGGTGCGGCATTAAGGGAAGAGCCTGGGATGACTATCCTGGGGCCAGGACAATAACTTCGAATGGCTCCTTAAGGGATCAGCAGATGGCATAATGGTTATGGCACTGGACTCCCATGAAGTCCGCCGCAGTTCAAGGCCCAGACCTGGAGGCTTAAAATTCATACCAGGCTTGGGTGTGTGCATGCCCAAAATCCCAAGAGGAGAATGGAAGAGAAGGGCCATTTCCCTGGGGGGTGATGATTTCTTGCTTTCTGTCTCTCTGTCCCTCCAGTGAGTGAACATGCCCTACAGCAATCTCAAAAAAAAAAAAAAAAAAAAAAAACAAAAAAAAAAAAAAAAAAAAGAAAAGAAAAAGATTGCCCTTCAAATCTCCACGGGGGGAGGGTACCCAAAAAAACCTCTTCTAAAGTTTGACTCAACAGAAGCTGAACTGAGTCCACCAGGAGAAAAGCACTGACTACAAAGTGATTTTAACTGGTCAGATGACAAGTGAGGACAGACTGAATTATGGGGTAAGGAAAATGACAGACTGCTCATAAAATGGTAACTTCCACTGATAACAATTCAGCACCCTAAAATACCTTTTAGGTATTTGAGGTCTTTTGCTGACCATTCTTGCCCTAGGAAGAGACAATACAGTTGTCCCTTAGCATCTGAGGGAGATCGGGTCCAGGAGCCTGGCAGCCACCAAGGTCCTCAGACCCTCCAGTCCCTTATACACAATGGCTTGATGCTGGCTCAGAACCTCGGCCTCCCCTGTACGTTCAGCCCTCTCTAGATCACTCGTAATACCTACAGCAATGTAAATGCGATGCAAATGGTGCTTATATTATTTTTTAAATTTGTATTATGCTTATTGTTTTTTGCTCAAATAGTTTTGATCAACAGTCAGTTGAATCTGTGAAAGAAGAACCCGCGGAAATGGAGGGCCAGCTGCTTATGGACTCTTAGGCTGGCTGCTCGGCTTAGGACAATGCGCCCTGTCCCACACCAGCGCTCAGAGCTTGTTCCCCCCCGTCCTGTGGTACCCCCAGGCCCTGGCCCCCTCACAAACACCTCACCTGGGCTGCCCTAGTTGGATTCACTTCCTGAGGATCCACTTAATTACTTTTTCGGGGAGAAGACCCACCAACTTGGGTTTCTGAGCCACACAAAAGGGGCGATTGATTCCTGCCTCTGATGTGAAACCTCGTTTTGGAAACGCTGGGTGGAGGTGCACGTGTGAGATGACCCCGCTCAGTGGAAACAGGCACCCCGGGTCCCAGAAAGCCACAGAGCCACTGTGATTACTGAGCTCAATCCTCCATCTCTCGGCTGTTCAGCTTCCCCTTCCATTCTGGGAGGGTAATTCATATTCTTCAAAAAATACTACTCTTGGGGCCTGCCAATGGGCATGGCGGTTGGGGTGCTGGACTCCCACGTGGTCGACTGTGGTTTGAGTCCCGGCCCTGGAGGCTTGCTTTCTCATTTTGTCTCTCCTGCTTGTCTCTCTCGTGTCTCTCTCATGAGTGTATGTGCCCTATAGCAAACCAGAGAATAAGAAAAAATAACATTAAATAAATCATTTTTGAAAATGCTACTCTTTTCTCTGTACCCCACTTTCCCCACATTTTTTTGTCCAGCTAGCCAGGGCTGGCCCTGCAGCCTAAGGGTGAAAGGAGCTGGATCCCACATGGCTGACCTTGTGGTTCCTGTCTCTATCCTTGAGGCTTGAGAAAAAATCCAGGCAGGTGTGTGAGCACAGTCCAGATCCTGATGGGGTGAGACACAGAGGGGGAGGGACTGCACTGTGCGGCGGCGCTCTGTCTCTCTCTCTCTCTGTCTCTGGGGAGTACACACACACTCTGGCAACTAAAACACAATAATAAAAAGAAATTCAGCTAGCCAGAGTTGGCTTCTTTTATTTGCTATCAGAAGAAACTGATCTGATGTAGCTACCACAGACTCAGAATTTCCACCCAAGGCCCAAGACAGTGCCTCAGCTCTGCAGGGAGGAACTCTGGCGGAGTGATATTCAGACCCAGTAACTCCAGAGCCTGGCTGGAAGGTCCAGATAAAAGGCTGCAGGAGGCAGGGGGTGGTGGAGGAGGAAGGAGATCAGCCACCACAGGCCTTGGAAATGGGGCCACAAGTTTCACTTCAGTTTCTGAACTCCATGAAGGTGACTGCTGTTTCCTGCCTCTGACGCGAAACCTGGTTTCAGAAACATCTGGTGAAGGTGCATTTTTTAGATCATTAGAGCTGGGTCAGGGCAGACATTCCAGTATGTGTGGCTGAAGGGTGGCTGACAGCTGTGAGCGGGAGTTCCAGCTCTCATTCCACGTGCAATAATCCGAGAGCACGCTGAAAGACTCTACCTTGTATTCCAGCGGGGACGCAGACAAGGCTCAAGCCTTATTGGTTTGCTACCTAAAATCAAGTGCAGCATAGGCCACAGAGAGCCCCTGAAGGGAAACTCTGGTTCAGAACTTCTTTTTTCTTTTTTGAGAGAGATATTTGCTATAGGGCATGTGAGCTCACTGGAGAGACAGAGACAGAAAGTGAGAAATAACCCCCCACACACACCCCGGGGGATGGCCATGCTGCAATGCCTTCTTCTCCATTTTCCTCTCAGAATTTTAGGCACACACACACACGCACACACACACACACACACACACACGGTGTGAGTTTCAAGCAGTTGGGTCTGGGACTCAAACTGTAATTGACCACGTGGGAGTCCAGCACCTTAACCACTATGCCACCTGCTGACTCCGCTTTTTCTTTTTTAAATAGTTTGTTTATTTATTTCTTCCACTAGAGAAACAGTAGAGAGACACAAACAGAGAGACAGGCACCCCCAATGAGGTCTTCATGTCATGATCCACCCCCCGGCCCAGGTAGACCCCAGGATCTTTCTTGTGTGGGGCTGGACTATGGGATGAATTGCTTGGACCGTTAGAGGTGCTAGTTCTCTGTCTCTGTCTCTTTCTGTTTCTCTTGCTCATGGAAGAAAGAAAGAAACTTTCAGAGTAGTGTATAGAAATATAACAGGAGCGGTCAGAAGATGGTGTAGTGGTTGAGGCACTGGACTCCCATGTGGTCAACCGTGGTTCAAGTCCCAGACCCGGCAGCTTGAAACTCATGCTGTGTGCATGTGCATGCATGCCCAAAATCAAGAGAGGAGACTGGAGGAGAGGAGATTGCAGGTGTGGCCACCCCCCTGGGGGTGATTTCTGGCTTTCTGTCTCTCCGGTGAGCATGTACACCCTGTAGTAAAAATCTCCCTTTCAAAAAGAAAAAAAAAAAAAAGGACAAGAAAAGAAATACAAGAGGAAAGAAATTATCTTGAAATAGTATTCCTTTAAGGTCAACATTTTTTTTTTTTTGGTAGAGGTTTTTGCCTTAAGCAAAGCAAGCTTTACGTTTGGAGAAATTACAAGGAAGTCTGGACCATAAATCTTTACAACGTCTAACGCATTAATCATAAGCCTTCCTTAGAACGATGTATGTTCAGGGAAGCTTCACAGCATCCCAAAGGCAATGTCAAGGCACCTGTGCTTTGGAGCCGTCTTAGGCGACCCTCCCTCCCGGAGATTGGATCAGCCAGAGAATGCTGGTTCCCTTTGATCCCAACTGCTTTGAAACCCGCCAGAAGGCAGCCTATGTGCCTTTTCCCTAACTTGGAGAACGTCCAGGAGGAGGACAGAGAATGATCAAAAGGTTTGAAAAAAAAGCCCAGGAGGAGAGTTTAAAAGAAGGGAGCTGAATTAGGAGAAACCAGAGAAGCAGAAAGATAACAACTAGGGTGGCCTTGATGGCCGCAGAGAGCTGCCCACAGCCATTCTATCCTCACTGACCTGGCAGATACAGAGAAGGTCAAAAACAGAGACGAACAGAACAGAGCCCTGGCTTCAGAGTCTCTTCTCCACCGCTGGAGACCAGGAATTCAACCAAATCAAGTTCAAGGCTGGACACAAGTAGGAAATAAGTCTGAAGGGATGGGATTTGAGAGCCAAAGCGCTTGCCAAGTCCAAGGTAGTGAGGTTGGGGACAGGCTTGGGACACATAATTAAGGGATAAGGTCCAAGACAGAGACCCAGTTAGCTTTGCTCAAGATGGAGTCACAATGGCTAAGTCTTAACAAGACTGGCTAAGCGCTGGCTCCATCAGGGCTGAAAATAATTATAACGAAGAGCAACTGTTTCTATTCACTAACTACATTCTACCAAAAAGTGCAACTCAAAAATCCTGCAACTACAATGGAGAGAAAAACTTCCCTGCTTGCCACTTATTTATGAGAACATGGACAGGTAAAATGGGGAAGTACTTTTCAGAGCTGATTGGGAGAATTTCCATGGGCGGCGGTGGTGGCAGGGACAGAGAATTTTGTAGTCTGGAATATTCTATTATAGACCTGGTACGGTCCGTATAAATCAAGGGATTATTTTGTGGTTTCCATTGGCCTTTCACCTAGACACTGTGTATGAATCATATCAGGGTCCGTTGGTGTCATATAAAAGCAGAAAAGACAGAACGCAGGGATGAGATCCCCTCCCACCACAATGAAATGAACAGAAAGCCCACTGGTAAGTTTACCAAGAAAGCCAATGGGTGCAAACTCATGGAAACTGGCTGTGCTTTGAAGTCTTAAGTTCGTCTCGTGTCACAGGTTCTTAGGGTATACCATGATTAACTGAGATTTATTAATATGGAGGACAAATGAAGTTGTAACTCTATAGCACAAATGTAGGTGTAATATTTTGCTTACTTTACATAATATAACAGATGAATAAGAAGAATAATTCAATTATTGGGATAGTGTGCTTATTGTATTGTTTTCTTTCCAGGTATTTGTTTTTTTCTTTTCCCATGAATTTTCTGGCGGGACTCTCTAATCTCTCAAACAGGAAATTTCAGACTTTTCCAGTCATGGATAGATGAATCCAAGACAATACAAACAGAATTTTATAACTTAGGACAGCAGCACTTTCTAGTCAATATTTTCAATATCCAGTGATTTCTGTAGAAGTTAGGATGTGAATTAATGTTTCAAATGCTCAGGGTTGTTGTTGTTGTTGTTTGTTTGTTTGTTTAATTTGCCAGAGGACATGCGTGCTCACTGGACAGGGACACAGTGAGGGCGAGGGGGAGCAAGAAAGCCTCCCCATGGGGAATGGCCACAACTCCGTCCCCTCTCCTCCATCTCCCTTCACAGTCCCTTCCTCACTTCTTGTTCGGATTTTGGGCACACATATACCTGTGCCAGGTCTGAGATGTGAACTGCAGAGTTGGCCGTGTGGGATCCAGCTGCCTAAACCACCACTCCACAGGCTGGCCCCCGGGGCAGGCCGTTTTAAAGAAGTTGTGTGTGTTTTCAGTCAACCCATAATCAGTCTGTCAAATAGCATATTCTGAAAAAACATTTACTTTGTACAAGTACGATGTTTTCTCCTAAAGATAATGTTTAGGGACCAGCAGGTGGCATGGTGGTTAAGGCACTGGACTCCCACATGGTCGACCACAGTTCAAGTTCTGGACCTGGCAGTTTGCTTTCTCACTTTTTCTTTCTCTCTCTCTCTCTCTCTCTCCCTCACTAGTGAGTGCACATGCCCTAGAGCAAATTAAAAAGTAATAATAATAATTAAAATTAAATAAATGTATGCATATATGAGGGGACTTAAAAAAAAACTCATGAAGAAAATGAAATAAAAATATGAATTTCTTTTGGTGCAAAAAAGTTTGGAAATCCACATAGTTTTTTCATATTACACATTTTTCATGAATTTTTTGATGATCCCCCTTGTAAATATACCCATATGTACACCATTTATTAATATGACATATGGCATAGCAATAGAAAAAATGATTCAACATGTCAAATAGTATATTATGTGTACAAAATTCAGTAGAAGTGATAACCATCAAAGTATTTATTTAAAATTTACCTTATTCCTCCATCATTCTTAAAAGTTTTTCATGGGTCAAATATCTGTTTATAGCTTACCTGTCTCGCTTCCAATTAAAGGCTGATTTGCAAAGTGCTTGATGAAATCCTTCAGAGATGAAAATTCATTAAAGCCAAATTTAAATGAATATCCAGTATATTCAACATGGAAGTGTTTAACAGAATCTTTGGCTCTGAAAGGGAAAAAGAAGTGTTTGCTATTACTTAACAAATGCGTCTCTCTTTGGAAGGGAAATACAAACGTAGCTTTTAGCATCAACATTAGCCCTAAGAGAGAATTATCCGATCACTGAAGTCATTGACAGTTTTAGACCCCACTGCTTTCTTTCAGCTGAGCATGCTCTTTCACGCTCCGAGACATAAGGGACCACTCTCCCTACCCACTGTTCAGCTTGTGATAAAAGTTCTTCTTAACCCTCTTAAGGGGGCATGAGTTTAAGGAAGGCAGGAATAGAGGTGATAGAAATAGCATGCGACAGCTTGACTGAACGTCTGTCTGCCATTGTTTCAGGGTCAGTCAGAATTCGGTGTCTGTCAGTCACCTGGGTACAGCCTTTTCCCACGGCTGTTCCACTGCCTGCTGAATAAATATTAAATTTCCTACATTGCCATTTCCCACTTCATTTTCGAAACGCAGCAGGATATCAGATTTAAATATATATATTTATATATATCTCCACTTAGTTTTTTTTTTGAAAGAGAGATTTTTGCTATAGAATGTGTGTACTCTCTGGAGAGACAGAGAGACAGAAAGTGAGAAATCACCCCCCAGGGGGCATGGCCACACTGCAATCCCTTCTCCTCCATTCTCTTCTCAGGATTTTGGGCACACACGCACACATGCCCAGTGTGAGTTTCAAGTCACAGGGTCTAGGATTCGAACCTCAGTTGACGATGTGGGAGTCCAGCAGCTTCACCACTACGCCACCTGCTGGGCTCTATTTCCACTTAATTTAACCCCATCCTACCTTTCCAGCCTCATTTCCTTCTATTCTTCCCTCCGCAGCCCAGCAGAGTTCCAGCTTCTGTGTATCAGAGTTACCAGGAGGGCTGTTACAACTTGGATCGCTAGGCCCCACCCCCAGGGTTCTTTCCAGTAGGTCCAAGGAGGGGCCTGAGAACTGGCATTCCTAACCCATTCTCAGGCGATGCTGCTGGTGAGGATCACACCAGGAATAACTCTTCTCCAAGGGTTTCTGCCTCTGCCCCACCGCTCCTACCGCTGTCACCTCAACATCAACCCATCACCTCCACTGGCAGAAATCCCAGCTACCCTCAAGCTTCAGTTCAGATAGCACCTCCTCTGCCACATATTACTGACCAGCTCAGCTTGAGTTTCTTGCTTTTTCTCTCCTTAACCACCTAAACACTTAGCTCGCCTGCTTTTACGTCACTCACCACACGCTATTTGTAGGAAGTTATTTGTGTACAGCCTTGCCCCGTGAAGCTACACTTCCTGGAAACGAGGCCTTTGACTCGTCTTGATTGGTGCAGAATAAATGCTTTTGCATAGTTATTATTAAGAGAATGAATAAACAACTGCGTAAACACAGTATTCTCTTGCACAGGTCTGTGGTCCTGCCACTGTCTGCTGGTGGTTTTGGTTTTGTTTTTCTTAAGCATTCTCCAAGCGTTTGGAATGGAAATCAGTGCTTTCCATTTTAATTGTTACATGTAGATGAGCTATAGAGGCCATCTGCTCACTGGGAGCTTGTGATCTAATTGTTCAGATGAGACATAAAGAGATGATGAGTTAATTAACATTCTCTGATTCAATCACTTCCCATTCATTGGAGATCTTTCAAAAATCCATGCAATAACGCACCTGCAGCTTAATGATTTGATGAACTTTCAATATTTACAGTTGATCAAAGAAAACACAGTTCTTGCTGCCACCCAAACAAAATGCCATCTGGGGTTATTCATTTTTTTTACCCTTGTTGGTTAGAAAACTTACACACAAAATTTGGCCGCATGACATGGAAAATGCTAATGAGTACAGGTACTTTATCACCCCTACCCGTTCACCACTCCCCCTCAAGTAGGCCTGTAGGTGTTCACTGCTCCAGGAAAAGACTGTCAGCATTCTAAGATGACCCCCAAATCCTACACCCTTTCCCAATTTTTCCTAATCCAGATGCTGCTGTGAAGGGAGTCTGCAGTTCATGAAGACCTCTGGGTGGGCCTGATCTAATCCCATGAGCCCTCTAAAACAGTGTTCTCTGGCTACTCAAAGAAGAGACTGGGACCAGCAGATGGCGTCATGGTTACATCACTGGATTCCCACATGGTTGACCATGATTCAAGCGCCAGATCCAGCAGCTCAAAACACACCAGGCATGTGTGCATGGCTGCCTAAAACCCAGAGAGGGGAATGGAGGAGGAGGGATTGTGGCTTGGCCATCCCCCCTGTGGGTGATTCCTTGCTTTCTGTCTCTCTCTGTCTCTCTCTCTCTGGTGAGCACACACCTCCTATAGCAAAAATAACTCTAAAAGAAGATGAAGGAGAAGAAGAAGGAAAAGAGGAAGAGGAGGAGGAAGAGAAGAGGGTATTGGTGAGGTGCCCTGGCTGGCCAGGCAGAAAGCAAGCACCCATGCTATGAATCGTGTGGGGGCCCCATGGCCATGAACTGCAGGTGGCCTCTAAGGGTTGAGCCCAGTCCCCGGCTGAGCTAAAATGAAAAATGAGGACCTCGGTTCTGCAGCAGCAAGGAAATGAATAGAAAAGAATGAAAAGGAAAGGAGGAAGTGAAGGAAGGGGTCACTGAACCCCAGATAAATGCTACGACCTTGGCCAAAATCTTCCTTTCAGTCTGGCAGGACACCAGATAGAGACGTGAGCCATGGTGCACCTGAATTTGTGACATAGAAGCTGAGGTGACCGATTTACATTGTTTTAAGCAACTATGTCTTTTTTTTTTTTTGTAATTTATTGTGTATCATTGAATATGAATATAGGAGGTCCAGAGCCCGTAAGAGAAAATAAGTAAGTTTATTAATTCTTGGTTTTTGAGCTCATAGGAGTCTGTCATCAATTATTTAGCAAAATATTTACTTAGCCAGTTTTGTCTCCCTTTCGGAGAGAGAGGAGATTACAAATAAAAAATAGGGGGCAGCAGGTGGTGTCGTGGTTAAGGCACTGGACTCCCACAGGGCCGACCACGGTTCAAGTCCTGGATTTGATGGCTTGTTTTCTCACTTTCTCTCTTTCTCCCTCTGTCTCTCTTTGGTGAGCTCACGAGCACTGTAGCAAACTAAAATAATAATAATAATGATAAAATTAAATCATTCTCCTAAAATAAATAAACAAGCAAAAATGGTTGCTGAGCTGCACAGAAAAAGGGAGTTTGGACAGGAGAAGCTTGTGTGGAGGCAGCTACTGAGTTAGTGGCAAGAGGCTGGACCCCGCAGAGCAGAGAAGAAATGGAGAACTTTCCGATGCCAGAAAGCTGAGGGCCACACTCTGAAGATATATAGAGGTCGATCCTAACAGTTGGAGGTGAGTAGGGCGCCCCAGGGAGACTCACACCGCCCTCAGTTGACGAAGAGCTATGGGGGAAGCCAGAGTGTCAGTGCAGAGGCCCAGCTGCCTCCCTCACGGCCCAGCAAGGTGGGTTGGCACCCTAGTGCCTGGGGAAGCGGGTGAGGAGGAGAGCCACGCCCTGGGTGGCCAGGACAGTCACTGCGCTCGTCCCCAGAGGGCATCAGGTGAAGGTTCTCCCCTCGTGGGGAAATGGAGCCTCCAGAAAGCATGTCAGCGCATGCACCGAAAACCGCCCGAGGCGCCCATGGCCTGCTTCGGTTTGCGAATCATTGCCAGGCTCCAGGGGAAGCAGCAGGCAGTGGAAAGGGCCCGTGGGTGGATTTGGGGGTTTGGATTGGGGTGCTGTTTCTGCCTGTGGTGGATTTACCGGGTGCCAGCTGCACCTACCACGCTGGGTTTCGGGTCCTGCAGCGGGAGTGACAGCCTGATTAAATACCCAGCAGCTCCCCTGCTCGGCCTGTTTCTCCGCCAACGTGGGCGGGAATGTTTCCTCCAGCCCGGCCATCAGAGCTGAGGTCCCCTCTCGGGTCCGCACAGTGGGAAGTGGGCAAGGACGCCTACCTGACCGACAGGGAGTACAGGCCTCGCCGCTCGTGGCTGTCCCTCAGCAGGTAGCTGCCGTCGCGTCCGTTGGAGAGGAGAAGGGCCTCGGCCGCGTGGCGTGTGAGACAGCCGTGGTACCACCTGGAAGGCAGAGGACTCGGTCACTCGGGGTGCCACCTGCACTGGGGTTCCCAGTCCCCACCACAAGGAGCTCAGAGACCACCCAGCAGGAGAAGTGGGAAGGGGAAGGGGAAGGGGTCGGCAGAGAGCTGGGGGACAGTAGCATTTACAGGTGAGCTGTGTCCTGGCCCCGGGTACCTCAGAGAGCCACCCCATCCGAAGGTAAGGTCTTTGCCGAGTTAGGCTGAGGTCATTGTGTGGGTCTTACCCAGGATGACAGCAACCTCTTGTGAGAGGGGGAATCAGGGGACAGATTCCCGGGACATGTACAGGGAGGATGCCCCTGTTCAGCAAGATGTCACCTGCAAGCTGCACAGAGAGGGTGGAACAGCCCCACCCCCACCCCCATCAGCCTGCAGAAGGGACCGATCCTGATGACACCATGGTGTCATACTTTCTGGCTCCAGGACTGTGGGATGACAGCATTCTGCCGTTGAAACCACCCAGTTTGAGACGCTCTGGCAGGGTGGCCCTAGAAGAGCTTTGCTTTGTAAACAGACATTTTTTAAATGCCCAAGACAACATAACCGCTAGAGTAGGCTTGGATCCGTTCTCTTTCTTTTGGTCTCTCTCACCCTCACTCTCTTTTGCAAGTGTGGTGTCATTTCAGTGGAAAACCACTGGGCTGTCAGGGAGCCGTTGTCATGAGTGAAAGGAGCTGGGTGCATGGACTTCAGATGTGTCACAGTGAGACAGAGGCCGACCTAAGCACGGACATTTATCTGAACAGCTGGGATGTCCTAAGGAGATTCGAACTGTTCCCTGCATGTGTTTGTTGTGTTTTAGAAAAAGTAACATATATTCAGGTTTTTTTTTTTTAATCCAAATAATCCCAAAGGAGACCTAAGTGACAATTAAGCCTTTTCCTCACCCTTGACCTTGGTCCCCCTGCTCCTTCTCCGGAGGACACCAGAGAAGGACCATGGGAACATTTTCCTGTTTCCCCCTTAGAGACAGGCTACGTAGCTAGAAGCCTTCTGCTATGGCCCTCTGCTTCCGAACGCCATGGAAACAAAAGTATTTTAGTCACTGCTCTGAGCCTGGTCCCCCGCGCCTAATGACAAGATTCCTACACCCTCTTTAACAACCTCATAGAAGCAGTCCAAGGCGGTGACTCGGATCCTGGCTTTGCCTTTTCCAACCCCGGCTATACATCTCAGCAGGGGTAAGACCGAGCAAGTTCTTGGCCAACCTGAGCCCCAGTTTCATGGTGGTGTCTAAAGCAATGGGTAACAGTCATCCTCATAGGTCAGTGGGAGCGCTGCACGCGGGCATGTGTGAGGTGGGCAGAGCAGACCTGGCAAACGGGTTAGCTGCGCCATGGTGGTGCTGAGAGCCTTTTTTTTGCTGCTTAAATAGGATTTTCTATTGATTTCTTTAGTTCAGATGACAGAGCTAGGCCTGGCTGCGGCTCCTGGCTGCAGAGCACCCCCAGTCCAGGGCAGCGGACATGAGGGGAGGCCGGCAGTTCGTGAATAGTGCTGAGGTGGTGCCAGGGTGCCAGGGAGGAGGTGTGTGAAAAGCACACACAAGGGCTTTGGGGCAGAGCCCTCCTCTGGGGGTTTGGGATGATCTTGTCATGAACCATCTGGCCTCCCCTGTGACGTCCTCAGGCACGGAATTTTAGCCTGAGTAAGCACATCTGTGGAAGGAAGCTTCTACATAGATTTCCACGATGTCTGGTTTTTGTTGTTTTTTGTTTGTTTGTTTGTTTTTTCAGAGAGAGTTTTCTTGAGACTGAGACAGAAAGTGAGAAATCACCCCCCAGTGAGGATTGCTATGCTGCACTCCCTTCTGGAACTCGAACTGCAGAGTCAGCTATGTGGGATCCAGCGCCTTAACCTCCGCACCGTCTGCTGGTCTTCTGTGAAAATGATGCTTGAAGACTATGACCATGGGCCCATCTGATGGCACAGTGGTTACGTGCTGGACTCCCACATGGCCAATCACAGTTTGAGTACCATACCCCATGGTTTGAAATTCACACTGCGTGGGTGTGCATGTGTGCCCCAAATCCAGAGAGGACACTGGAAGGGAAGGGACTGTGGCATGTGGGATGCTTTCTCACTTTATGTCTCTCTGGTGAGTGCATGTGCCCTGCAGCAAAAATCTCTTAAAAAAAAATAAAAAGACTATGTTCATAAGGAACTGAAAGTTAAAATGGAGTGAGGTTGGTGGTTTTCCCATAACGAACCCTCTCTGCCTTCATTCATTGCTCCAAATCTGTGTAAAACGTTGTGTAAGACATGTGGCTGGGTCAGGTGGTCTGGGCTCCGAGAACCATGGCCTAGGCAAGCACACTGCAGCTGTATCCAAGGCGGAATACATCTCTAAGAGACGTTCCAGAGAGAAAGATCACAACCAGGTTTCTTGAGCAAGTCACATCTAGGTAGAGCTTGACAGAAACTTCCATTATTTCTAAATATGTATTCCTTTTTTCCTGATTATAAAGCATGTGTAGTAAAAACGAAAATACATGCATTTAAAGAAGAGAGAGTGAAAGTCTTTTACAGAAGAGGAAATATCTGTTTCAAATAGTCTCACTACTAATCTGAGAAGTGCACCTTAAAACAACAATATGACTTTTTTTCCCATCAGATTGCTCCTAATGTCAATTGCACCCCTACTGAGAAGCACTGAAGGTGTCTGCACACACATACACATCAAAGTTGACAGATCTGAAATACATTATTACTTAGAACTAGTTGTGGCCAGCAGGTGGTATACTGGTTAAGACATTGGAACCCCACATGGCCGACTGCAGTTCAAGTCCCAGACCTAGCAGTTTGAAAATCACATTTGGCACATGTGCATGCATGCCCAAAATCCTAAGAGGAGACTGGAGGAGAAGGGACTGTGGCATGGCCATCTCCCCTGGGGAAGGATTTCTCACTTTGCCTCTATTTCTTTCTGGCAAGCACATACACCCTATGGCAAAAATCTTTTTTTTTTTTTTTTAAGAAGTTTTTGCTATAGGGCGCGTGCACTTGCCAGAAAGACAGAGAGACAGAAAAAAGAAAACAGCTCATTTTTTCCCTAATCCAACCTCCAGAGATAACCTTACTAATAGTATAAATTGCCTAATTCCTTCATTTGTTCGGCTTCTGTTTATTGAGTGTTGGGCTGGCCTAGGCACTTAGGTGAAGACACAGAGAGAAAGAAAGTGAGGCAGAGAGAGAGAGGGAAGGACAGAGAGGAGAAAGAGGGACTTTTTCTCTGTTTAAAGTCTGCTGGAATTTTGAGTGACACTTGCAAAGTAGCAAAGGCCTGAGCTGGAGAATACCAGGAGTGTAAGGAGCAGCGCCCTGCAGTCACGTGAATAATACCGGCTGAGAGACAAAGGGCGGCTGCAGGGCTCAGTGAAAAACAAACAGGGAGGAGTGGGAGGCTGGGCTGGAAGTGGCTCTGGATACCCGAAGTTCTGGCTGCCAATACAGAGCCTTTGATGACTTCATATGCACATCCAGGGGCTGGTAGGTGGCTGGTGATAAAGGCACTGGACACCCACATGACCGACCATGGTTTGAGTCCCAGACTCTGCAGCTTGCTTTCTCACTTTCTCTCTGTCTCTCTGGTGAGTGCACATACCAAAATACCTATACCAAATTTCAAAATAACAATAATAATAAATATAATTAAATAAATAATTCTTTCAAAACTGTATGTACATCTAACAGCTCGTTGCATAGAATTATAATTTCAGGACCCCCAGATTCCTATAATCAGAACTGTAATTTTTTTTCTTTTTTTGGAGAGATTTTTGCTATAGGGCATGTGTGCCCACCAGACAGACAGAGACATAGCGACAGAAAGCGAGAAATCACTCCCCCAGGGGGGATGGCCACGCTGCAATCCTTTCTCCTCCATTCTCCTCTCGGGATCTTGGGCACGCATGCACATGCGCCCGGTGTGAGTTTAAGCCACTGGGTCCAGGACTCAAACCACAGTCGAGCTGGGAGTCCAGCGACATAGCCATTATGCTAACTGCTGGTCCCAGAACTGTATTTTTAAAACATATTTTAAAATTCTGGTTATTGAGGCTAAGAGTCCTATTTCAAGGGGTTGAGGCCTACAAAATTTGGCAATATCTTTTAAAAAATATATAAAATCATGCACACACAGAAGGAATAGTTATTTAGAATGAGAACTTACAAGTCACACGTTTTGAAAGCTGTCAAGAATCACCAACAGGAGGGCGAAAGCCTGAGCTCCGTAAGACGTGGGAAACAGTGAACTCAGTGCCTCTGCGTCTCCCTGGCTGTGTGACTCAGTGCGAGCTGATGCCTTAGTGGGGGGCTCAGTAAAACCCCCAGGTGCTGCAAACTTTTTCTCCTCCTCCTCCTTTTTCTTGCCTGGACTAGGTGCCCCCTCCTTGACCCTACCTCAGAATGCTGAATTCTTTTTTTCTAGTTTCTACCTATAGATATGGAGATTGAGAACCATCTCTCTCTCTCTTTCTCTTTTTGGAGTTTTTGTTTTGTCTTGTTTGTTCATTTGTTTGTTCGTTTTTGACTTAGGGGTGGCGGGAGTGGGCTATGCAGAGGCAATGAGAGGGAAAGTGAGAAATCATCCCTTTGGTGGGGGGACTGGCCACCCAGCAATCCCTTTTTCTCCATTCTCCTGGGATCTTGGGCATGCACGCACATGCACCCGGAGTGATTTTAAAGCTACTAGGTCCAGGACTTGAACTGTGGTTGACCATGTGGGAGCCCAGTGACATAACCACTACACCATCTGCTGGTCCCCAGAGCTGTCTCTTGCTGATGTTGAGACATCAACAAACCTCCAAATATACAGTGGATGGATCAGTGGTGAGGCAGGACGAGAGACTGTCAGCGAGCAGCAGCATCCTGTCCAAGGATCAGCTACCTGCCGGCCGCAGCCGCCCCTCCGTAAGTCCCAATCAAAGAGAGAGGGAAAGTGAGAAATCATCCCTTTGGTGGGGGGACTGGCCACCCAGC